AAAGTACCACATCCCCTGGAACTTCAGTTTCGTTTAACTATACCTAACTATACTCCGGTTATAGCATAATTCCAGTGCTCTGGATGGGTGCATACGCAATTCGCGATGTGGATGCTGATATAGCGAATCAGCAGTCGCCTCCCTCTCTGCCTGAGTTACGTACCAGTACGAGAGCCACTTTGCGTCAGCTACAAGCTGCGCCGTTGACTGCTCAAGTGCAGGTTCCCGCCTTGCATTTGCAGTCGCCCGGTGAAGTGATGCAAAGTGTCCTAGAGGGCATGAGATTCCATAATCAGGCTATGTATGGTGCATGGCTGGCAGATAATGAACGAGTGGCTCGCGCAATGAGTTGGGTGAGACCGGAAGTGGTTATGCTTTTCCAGTCGCGTACACTAGTACGCTATGAAGAGTGAGTCCTACTCTTGAATACGCAATAGTGACCCTAATATTCAGCCAATCATAGTCTCGTCAAGCTTGGTGGCAATCTCGACTACACCGGATGGGGTGTATATCTCCATATCGTTATGGTCGAAGGAGAATTACGGCCGCGGTTCTATGTCGGCCAAGCATATAATCTTAGAAATAGGATTCACTCCCATGGCCTACTATCAACCAGACGAAACCATCTCAGCCTTCATTACAAGGCCGTGGAGAAGGCTCAGTGGGACGTTTTCGTTGTTCTGGCCTATGGGCCAATGAATATGGACGATGCTGACGCCAATGGCAATAGCCTAGAGCAGCTATCGTTGAATTTTGTGGAACACTTCGGCAGCTGTCTCGTACGAAGCCTACCCCGGAAAGAGCTTGAGAAGTATATCCCTCAATCATCCATTGTGGAGCCCGAAATCCACCTCAATGTCATTTCGCCCTTATTCCAGGGCGGTACATTCCAAGTTGCGTGGATGTGGGCGCTATTCAAATCTGGGGATCCACTGCATAGGCAGTATATCGCGGACTTCTGCCTCCGTTCACAAAAACGGCTCGCTGAGCACGCGCAATCTAGGACCGACATCGTACTCGACAAAGTATTAACTGGCGGTGAATTCAAGCTGTATCAAACGGTGGACCACCGTGCCAGATTTGATATCCGATACGTCTCCATCAATATCACTACGACATTGGACGTGGATGTTTCCCGACCAGTGTACGTCGAAACCCAGCTCGTTGACGACGGGATGATACACCCATTGCGATATGCGGCAAAAGCAGTTGCAGGAGACCCAGCCCTCCGATTAGCCTTTGAGCTCACTATTCCGCTCATCGGTGGAGGTTCTACTCGGGAATTCATCCAATGCCAAGGGCTCAAGGCTCCCCTCAAGGTCAACTCTTTTGTTGATTGGATTGAGGGGAATACAGACGAAGAAATCGGGCTTCGACCACGCCGATTTATGCTTAGGCATAAAGGCCGTGGTGTCGCAAAGTGGGAATACACATGAAAGAACCTGGGGAACGGACTGATGTTGATAGCAAGGTATTGGTGAAGGAGTATATCCCTAGCTCGGAGGTATTGCGCCCATTATTTCTGCTGGTAGCGACATGGAAGGGCTGTACTGCAAGGTCGTAAGCACTTTAGGGAGCAACCCTCGTGGGGACATTTTCGACTACACTTTGATCGGATTAGTAGCGCTTAGCGAACGACGGTCACTGTTGTAGGAGGGCTTAACTGCAGGGTGCTGTCTTATGGTGTGACTTTCGCATAGCCTCTTACCAGTCCTACCAGAATCCGGAATCTTGGCAAAGCGCCTCCATGAGACGACGGATTGCTACTGACCCTCTTCTATCCTCATTGTGCCTCACTGGGGCACCAACCAGAATTGCTTTCGTGGTGGCAGTTTCGACTACACTTTAGCCGGATTAGTAGCGCTTTTTGCGAACGACGGCTAATGTTGTGGAAGGGCTTAGCTGCAAGGTATATTTCTGGAGTGTTCCACGGCCAGTTTCTAGGGGGAGCGAGTCAACGTCCTCGTAGATGTACGTTAAGTACTTCTGATTTGTTTTGACATTCAATAACCCCATCGCAGTTTCTCTTCTTCATATAGGTAGAGGTTGGAGAACGCTCCATCCTAGCAGCAGGTCCCAGCTGCAACTACCTCCTTCTCGGGACCGGAAATCGGATCTACACCTCCACGCGGTGGTCCTGGATGCCGAAAGGCAGCTAACGTAGAACGTGTCGCATGATGGGTTTTTTTATTCACTTATCGTGTGGCGCCCAAGTTTTGGCCGCATCTCATCAATGCTAAAGCTGGGCAGCGCTTCCCTGTTTCCACTCAAGCTGATTGTTATGCACAAATTGGATTCAATATCAGCCCTCGCCATCTGCGTTGTTCTCGCGCACTTGCCTATGTCAAGCGTCTGAGGCAGAAGGAATAGAGGCTGCTGAGCAGACCAGTATTCCTTGATCCGAGAGCAACGTTTCTAGCTAGGGACAAGGACTTTTCCTTTCAGCAATCCACTGGATTCGGGAAGCTTTGTACTGCAACATTCCGGCGACGGCTATCATCTACCAACCAGCTGGAGACCAAGCTACAAGCGGAGCTCATCAAGTGGAAGCAACTGCCAAATATCCCGATGGCTAGTTCTCGATTGTCGACAGCGGCCGGCTTTTGACATGACTCGTTTCACCCTTGGTTAAATCCACCTTTTGATAACCAACGCATTCAGAGACCTATCCCAGCAGCAAATAGAGGTTGCTCATGGAGCCTTTAGCATGATTTGAGCATTATGATGAACGGGAACATGATCAGTTTCCAGCACCAAGGGGTGTCTGTTATTCTCACCTCCACTTCACGAAAAATCCTCGAAAAGTCTCCTCCCTCAAGGTCCGCCTATTGCTCATTCAGATACCCATCTCAGCAACAATAGAGTTTGCACATGGAGCCTTTAGCACGATTTGGCACTATGCTGAGCAGGGACATGATCAGTTCCCACCACCAAGGGGTGTCTATCATTCTCACTTCCAGTTGGCGAAACATCCTTGAAAAGTCTCCTCTCTCAAGAACCGCCTGTTGTTCCCACTTCCCATCCACAAGAGTTCTTGGAGAGGTGTTCTCGCAGAGTACTCATCAAGCCATCCGAAACCAAGGCAAGCCACTCCAACACTCGTCCAGTAGTCCCTCTCTCAACTATCCTCCGTGACCTCTTGTGCATTCCCCGACGGTCGGGTTTATCGCGCATCCGGGCATCGTTCATCCACCCCCTTCCTAAGCTATGATGTCGGTCCTTACTTTTCCACAATTCCGACTTACTGTTCTGTCTCGCCGTCGATCGAGTCACACAGAGAGTGTTGATCGTAGGATGGCGCCTGGAAAAGCAGCCAGTTTGCAGGATGATTGTATATTTGAGTATGTATTTGTTTCGTGAGCGTCGTTCGAGAATACGCAGACTAATTGAAATGGTTCCAGGTTCTCCGTTGAAATGTGAGGGTTCTGCCGCTACCCCATTAGAAAGGAGCTCCGATACGCGCTTTACACGGGCTTCTGGCTATATCCCACACCGTCATCGTGTTTCCTGAGTCAGAGCAGCACTCCTCCGAGATTGATGACGAGGTCGAAGGCGTCTCCAAAATGTTATTGCCATTGGACCAAAAGACATAGACCACCATATGCAAGTGCATAACCGGCCGCATTCACTGGGACGACAATCCACTCGACATAGAACGCCCGAGCTTGATGAGATCAATACTGCGAGCTTTTTGAAACCAATACTGCGTTGATGGTCAAACTTACATAGGTCTTTTTACAAAAAGCAAACGACTGCAGCTAATGGCCATGAAATGACACAGACAACTCCCTCCAAGTGTATACTTGGTCGCAACCACTTGCCCGACGAGTAAAGCCTTCACAACTTAATTGGTGCCGTGCTGAACGGCAAACGATTGGCCACTTCCCATAAAGCGCACAGTTAGAAATATGGGCTTGCAGGCATCAAATAATATTCCCATCGGTGATTCAGAGTCGCGTTGACTGTTGGTCGAGACCCACGGCACACGATTGGCCACTTCCTATAAAGCGCACAGTTAGAAATATGGGCTTGCAAGCATCAAATCATATTCCTATCGGTGATTCAGGGCCACGTTGATTGTTGGTTGGGACATTGGGTATTGTTCAGTGAAGAGTGGCCAGGCCGTCCAATAATATTCCTATCGGTGATTCAGAGTCGTGTTGATTGTTGGTTGAGATCCTTGGGTGCTGTTTAGCGAGGAGTGGCCGAGCTATCAAATAACATTCCCATCGGTAAAGCAGAGTCGCGTTGGTTGTTGATTGGGAATCTTGGATATTGTTCAGCGAGGAGTGGCCGGGCCATTTGAGGTTGATATTGCACAGATAGATGAAATTATTCTGAGGTTTTCATGTATTCCTTTGATCAATAGTAGCGGATTGAATTGTTTGTGTTTAAGCCTTTGAACGCATTATTTTAATTCGCCTTCCTCTGTCGTTCATCTATACTTTGTCGGAGCGGAAAGTCGTCTGGTGTGTTGAAGTATAGGTGGAAGGTGTTTAGGGCTTCGTCGGAAGGTGTTCTCGTAAAGTGTTCCCGCAAAGTGTTCCTATACACGGGCCACTAAGATTCGGAGGAAAGCCATTAACTTTGAAGGGGTCCCCTCCCGAAAAAACTTACGTAGGGGGCTTCTGTCATGTGGAAATCATCGCATAAGTAGCTCTACTATTCTACGTGCAAGAAAGAGAGATTGAATACCTCCTCTTTTTGTATATTCTATTGTAATAATATTGAAGAACGTGAGAGAGATTCGGAGTCGTGTAATCGAATGTCAGGAATCGATCGGACAGCAGTTTTGTTCGCCATACGACACAAGTGTATATATATAGCCCAATGCAAATCTGCTCCAACCAAATAGGCATTCTAGCCTAGCAAGCTTCTCAGTTCGGCCTCTTTCACTTCAACTGAAAAACCGAATCCATGACGCCTCATAGCGCCTTGGTAACTTGGCAACTTGGCGGAGGAAAGTAATTTTCCAGCGGAAGTATTGCACAATTCCAACTAACTATTCTATAGTGGTTAACGCGATGCCCTGCTATTAGTCAGACTAAAGTTTAGGCATTTCCTTCGGGAGCGCAGGTTCGAATCCTGCAGTTGTCGCATATATTTTTTTTCTTTTTCTTCAAGAGGGAAGATATTATACTTTTGTGTCGAAGGAACTTAAAGCTAGTAAACCATCAACGCACATTAGATTTCCTATTCGCAAACCACGAGTTGCGAAGAATATAGGACGCTAACCGAAGTCTTCAGTTTAAAGTTCTTTTCGCGTGCGGTAATTCCAACATCGTATTTTTGAGGCCGTTATATTGAGAAATAGATTAGATTTCGAGTATTTCTTCTCAGCACGCCACGTTAAGTCACGCACGTGCTATCAATTACGATTGAGGCGATGCCCTGCTGGTATACCAAACGCATATTAGGTATTTTCTTTGGGATCGTAGCTGTTAATCCTGCAGGCGTTGAGGCGATATTTTTTGCCCTGGAAGATTCCTTTGAAAGGTCTACTCAGCTTCACTATTTTCGAGCATGATCTTTTATCCATAAACCTTAACCGTTAACCGAGAGGGAATAGATGGGCTACCGCGGGGTTAGGAGCTTTCGTCTATCTAGTAAAATATCACGATTTACACAATTTTTGTAGAACAACTTACGCTAGGACTTCACTAAAGAATATTATATTTGCTTCCTTGCTTTATTACGTAAAGAGTAATCTTTACTTTGCATTTTGCAATATCTACACCGCCTGTATACAAAATAAGTAAGAAACGCTATCTCAAATACTATCCACCAAAAGATTTCCACGCAAGCCTGTCAATCATTGAACTAACAATTCCTTAGTGGTTAACGCGATGCCCTGCTACTTGTGTTACGCAAAAGCAGTTGAAGGCATTTCCTTCGGGAGCGCAGGTTCGAATCCTGCAGTCGTCGCGATTTTTTTCCGCCTTTTTGGACATCCGCTCGAAGCTCCTGTTCAGTTCCACTTTTTGGAGCATAACCAAATTTTCAATTATTACGCTCAAAGTCAAGATCTATCTAGCAAAACGTCTAGATTTACATTATTTCTAATAGACAACTTCACACTAGGACTCTAATTAAGAAGAATTACGCCGTTACTTCCTTGCGCGTTAGTTCTACTTACACAATATCTACTCTCCTTTAAAGCTGATACAGGGAACTCGAATCTTTCTGGCAATATTAGAACAAGAATAATATACTAGCGGCTTCCAACTTCCAATAATTCATAATTCCAACAAGAATACGTGAGTATACTATATGTGTCTAATTATTCTTAGGTAGAGTGTAATACGCTGTAATCCCGAACTCTATATAGCTTCCTAAAAACTTGATAAGTGTCGTGGTATCGGATGAACTATATGTTAGATTATTACTGCGTTGCCTCTTGAGTTGAGTACAGTATTAATTATAGCATCAACTGTAATATTACTGCGACACTGTGGGTGAGGGCAGAGTAAGAAGTATGCACGTTCCAAAAACTTGGGCTACGATTTTCTTAAATTATTTTCAACACTTCAAAAATCGTTTTACGGAAAGACTGTCGATCAGTTCCTAGTTTGTACGTAATGATCACATCACGACTTACTGAAACACTATCATAAAGTGTAAAAAAATTGTTTTGTTTTGAAACGCCATAAAGAATTAAAACGCCCACGTCAAGAATCAGTAAGAAACACTATCTAAAACGCTATCTACAACGCTGTCTACTTCTATCTACCCAACTGAATATCCTCCCACAAGTTGGAAGCAAGCACCTCTTCTCGACCTCATTCCGAGCTTTTAACAGCTGCGCGCTTCGGTAAAAATCTCATTCCAGACGTGTAACAGTCGTGCGATTCGATTTCGAGAATATGTTGACGTTGTGGTGTGTGCTTCGTGTCGTTCTTTTCCTGTGATAACACTCTATGGTGACTGCCCCCATTTCCTCACTTCCTAACCTGGTCCTGACCTGATGCCCATTGAAATAGTGACGCTTTCCGATGTTATCCTAGCTCTTTTCCTCTTTCTTTTTCGGCTGAGGGGTTTCCATAGCCGAGAGTTCCTTTCCTTTGTCCATCCGAGCTCTTCTTCATCTTTTCACTTCTCTTGCCCCTAATCCCAGAGTCTTCCTCCACAGCCCGTGTTGTCCTTCGTTTCGGTTTCCTTCGCTCACATTTTTTCTCCTCAACTTTTAGGCCCATCCCAGCTCTTGGTCTCTTCTCCTTCTGCTCATTGTACCCAGAGACTTTCTCCCCAGCTCTTGTACTCTTTCTTTTGTGGTCTCACTTCTTGGTGGCCCTGAGTTCCCTCCCATTCCTATCGCTGCCTTCCCTTTGTCTTTGCCCGTCTCCTTTTCATAAGAGCGATTCCCTCGTCTTTCTGTCCTTTTTTTTGTTTCGTCCAATTTTTCAGAAGTTATTCCTATCCCTCCCATCTTCCATGGTGCATTATAAGTGCAAATCCAAACGCCATCCCCCAAAGCCAAAACCCAGCCATATCCCGAATTCCAGTTGTGGAAAGAAATCGCAGCTCGCAGTGGTGCCAATCACCTAACCACGCCGTACAGTATCATGGAATCCGACTACTCCATCCCTAAGAGCCAAAGCTCATCCAAATCAATTTTTCCTTTTCCTTTTCTTCCAAAATTGTATAAAGTCTTCCACTGGTGATCTCTGTGTCATGTTAGATCCTCGTTCAGATGAAGAGTCAAGGGAACAACTTACTACATGGCAGTAATGCCCTGGCTTTGATGAGAATGAGCTCATGCTTATATATTGTCAGCCGCAGTCGACTGCGCCATTCCAGCTTTGTTGGCGAATGGTTCGCTGTCATCATTTCCATCTCGTTTTTGCGGTGAAATTGGCTGTCCATCGGTGATCAATGTATCACCGCTTGTGCCTGCGACTAACCAACTTGGTTTGGCTGAAAGATGGTGCGAAGGAGGGATTGGTGGCAGGCTTGTGGAAGGACCTGGAAGAGAAATCGGGGTATGGTTCACCTTCGGAAGGTCCTGTGGCCGGCTCTGGCTCTGGCTGGCTTTGATTCCAGCGGCTGTATTAGTGCGACTAGCCCAGCTCTCCGATTGTTGTTGAGGTTGAGGGACTTGCTTCACCTGCACCGCGGCAGTGGAATTGGATTTGGTTTGGATTCTAGATGTCTCTGCCGGCTCAGCATTTAGCGCGTGCTTGAAAGATGCTCCACCGGACTTCGAATTTTCGCGGAATTTGGTCATGGACTGGCTCATTGTGTTTCGTGCGCCGCTGAGCTTATCAATGCGCGTCTTATAGAGCACGATTTGGTCTTTGATAGATAGCCTCAATGCTTCAACTTTTCCAATAATTCCTTCTAGCTCCGCTGAAGATAGGTTCAATCGCTTCACTGGATCCAATGTCTTCAAGCAATCAAGATATTCGTAAGTCAAGCCCACGGATTTGGCAAATGTTTTTCCCTTGCCGAACTGAGGGATAAGGCTGTCTAGTTGTTTCAAGACATCTCCAGGGCTGCTTCCGCTCGAGAGCTTGTTTTGCGCCGTGAGGAGATTGAACCAATCTCCGTATATTGATTCAAGCTTCTCGGGCATCTCTCTGAAGCATTGCGCTGCACTCTCGGCATCTTCCAACCAGAATGCTTGATCAGATGAACTGTACTTCGATCCGATGGAGAAGTTCTTGCAAAAGGTACCGGCTTCTGCATGATTGAGTTTTTGGGATACGACAGCCAAGTTTTGGTAGCGCCTTTCCATGGATTTGCGAATGGCGCCTGCGTCCTCAACAACCCTCAGCCTCATGTATGCGCTGGATTCAGACAGGTGATCTAAGTCTTGCTTCATCTCCGCACTTGATGCATCGATCTTCTCCTTTTGGGAATCGATTTCGGCCCTCAGGTAACCATAGTATATCCGGTGCGTGAGTTCATATTCGCTCACATAATCGCTGAATTTCAACTTCTTCGTAGTTCCGCGGTAGCCCGTCCGGTTACTACACTTCTCGAACATCCTCACCAGCCTGCCTTCGCTCACTTTTAGGGTGTTCAACCTAGGCTCAAAATATTTTATTTTCGATCTGAGGGTATCTCTTAAGCGCAACTCTTCCAAGAGATTTTCCGTACGGGGAATGATGACATTGCGATCTGATATAGCTATCTCTGAAGAGGGAGGAGTGACGACCTGTTGCGGACCAGAATTTGCTGGAGTGCTCTGAGATGGAGCCGGCTGAGATGGAGTTGACAGTGATGTAGTTGGCGGAGATGGAATTTGCGAAGGAGTAGTCAGTGGAGATGGACTTGGTTGAGGTAAGGATGATTGAAGTGATCCTGGCGGAGACGAAGCTGACGGAGTTGGAGTAGGTGATATTGGAGCTTGTAGTGCTGGAACAGGTGACGATGCTATTGGCGAAGACGGAGCTGGTGGTGTTGGAATTGGCGAAGACGGAGCTGGTGGTGTTGGTACTGGACCTTTGGTAGGATTCCCCTTTCTTGTCAGTCAAATCTGCGCTGACGGAGTCGGCTTTCGCTTCTTCATTGAGGATTTCTCATGAGTGAGATCACCTGTGCTACCAGTAACGCTGCGTTTACGTGAACTGCTGCTCCGGCTAGGGAGCTCGCCCCGATCGGACGCGGAAGTTAATTCTTCGACGCGAGCTGCACCGCCGGCGAGCTCCACATCAGCATCCATGGTCTCCTGATCGCTGTCGAGCTTGCGGTGTTTGTCCTTTCGTTCTTCGCCCTGCATGGCTGCACTTCGCTTGTTGCCGAGGACACTGTTGGTTGGGTATGTTGCAAAGCCCACGGGACCTTTCATCGAAGGTTGAATCATGTTCTCGTGAATTTCGTTTATAGCATGCTCGGTAAGTTGGCGTTTCGGGCCTCGGACAATGGCGTCGTTTTCTGTGCTGGGCGACTTGCGCTTTCCTCGTGGCTGGGAGACAGGAACCGCATTTGGACCCGAGGCACAACCTTCACCGGTGGAGTGACGAACAGGAGCTTGAGATGCCTGTCGAGGGGTGCGAGAGCTTGAGCTGGTTATAGCTTGGCTTACCACCTTCGATGAAGAAGAGAGCTTCCGGTCTCCATTTGACCTAAGGTTCGGACCAGCAGACTCAGGTGTGACACTTGTTTGGGTATCTTTCTCAACTATCGTTGCCTTGATAGACTTGGTCGGAACCTTTGGATGAGTGGAAGAGCCTTCGGATGTGATGGCGGAGGACTCTGTCGGTTCACCTGTGGAAGAGCTATCTTGCTCTGTTGCCTCTTTAGTCATTCTGACTTGAATCTCGATGTGTTGGATTTGGGCTGCAGAGCACCACCTTTCTGTCTCAGCATGGATCGCCCTCTTTTCCTCCTCGTACTGCATGAATTCTTGGTGTACTTCAACTTGAGGATTGAAGAAGACGCCAAGCCACTTCTTGGAAAATTGCTCATACTCAGTAGCCTTCTCTTCTACTAACTTCATGAGTCCCTGCTGCTTCGTATAGCCTTCCTTCCACTTCTCAACCCACAAGTTGTAGACATTTGTATCAGCCAGAGGACTATTTTTGGCTGCCTCGGCACGTTCTAAGAGAATCTCATAGGATGGAGTGGTAGATATCGCAATGAGAAGTGATTTATTCCTCTCAAGAGAGTCAATCATGGCCAAAGACAACTCGTAATCCTCCTGGTGGAGGAGGGAGAGCGCTTTGTGTCCTTTTTGAACGTCCTCCTGAGTTTGATTGAAAGCGACGCCCGAAGCTTCTATGTACTTCGTTTGGATCGCATCGATACTTCTTCTGGCTTGAGTAAGAGATTTGTTGTGATGTCTGAAGCGCAGCCAGTTGGCCAAATCTTGCACGTCCGCGTGCTTCTCTGAAATTTGATGGAGGCGTGGATTGAACTCGATCCAGCTGGGCTCTGAAAGAACCTTTGATGTACCGGAAACAAATGGGAGTTCAAGTAAGTCG